ACCCACAGAGATCAATCAGCCTGCCTCTGCCTCCCAAGTGCTGGGACTACAGGCGTGCGCCACCACGCCCACCAGAAAATAAAATATTTTTTTAAAAAATAGGGATGCCATAACTAGGTCTAACCAAGGTATGGCCCCGCCCATCCCTGTCTCAGCTCCAGGTCTCCTGCCCGGCCACCTGACAAGTAAGTCTTCCTCCTGTGGCTGCCCCAGACTTCAGCCTTTTCCTGTCCCAGGAGGAGACTCCTGGGGGACCTCCAGTTTCTTGGGGGTCCGTTGTTTCAATAATTGATAAGACAGGCAGGGCACACTATTTTCTTGAAATAGTCATGTGGTGTGGCCCCTTTTAGGGCCCTTTCTGGAACATTTTACCCACCGCGTCTCCATTCACTAGCCAGGACTTGATTGCACAGCCATACCTTCCAGTTCACGTGCCTCTATGAGAGGCTGAAAAGTGTTTATTTCGGACCGGAAGCCCATTCAGCCATAATCATAGTCTGAACAAGTGGACTCATTGCTTCATTTAAAGAATTTATTTGCTGCCCTTCACCCCGGGGGTTTAGTTGAGGGTTTCTAAGTACCACGTGCTTATTCTGCCAAGGAAATAAACCGGTCCCCTGGGACGTGGCGGCTTTTCTCCTGGCGCTTTTGGTGCAGGGCTTCCCGGCAGGGCGCGTGGGCTTCTGGGGCTCCAGCCCAGCCCGCTGCCCGCCGGCCGGCACCACGCCCACTCACCCCCAGCAGTGCCGGCAACCGCGCGGGGCGCCACCACCAGTCAGAACCCAGCGGTCGCGGGATGGCGGTGCCCCAAGGACCCACCCCTGCGCGGACCGCGGAGCCACACACCCAGGAGCCCAGCTCGGTGAGCACCAGGAGGGCGAGTAGGAAGTAGGGCTGCGTTGAGCCTCGAATGGGCAGGACCCCTGGGACCGTCAAGGCAACAGAGCTCCCTTATCCAGAGGTTTGGCAGAGTGGAGTGGGTGTAGATACTGGGTCAAATGGCAACCTGAGTCTTGACAAGGGAAGTTTTACATTCAGCTAGGCAGGCAGGACCAGGACCAGGCCAGTCCCTGCAGGTCCTCCTGGAGACGGCTCTAGCCCAGGCAGATGTGGGTTCCGGGGCTGCCTCCCTCTGAAATCTGGGTGCTGCCCAGGCACCAAGCACTCCGTAGGGAGACTGTCCCCAGCGATACCTAGGCAGGAGGCCCTAGAGGTGAGTGTAGAGGGCAGGGTGTTCTCAGATCCTCTGCATCCTCTGTGTGGGTGGGATTGGGACTCATGCTAAGGCTGGTGACCTTGCTGGAGACAAGTTAGGACTTTGGGCTGTGTCCGGCTGAATGCAGCACTGTTCTCCAGACATTCACAGTCCAGACATTCGTCAGTTGACCACCACGAGCCCCTATCTTGATTCAGCGTTTACTGTCAGGCATCTCTGAGCAAAGGGTTGTGCCCCGCTAATTAAGAAAATGAGAGGCCCCTGTGCCTTGGCCTGCCTGTGGTTCTAGCCTACTGCAGAAACTGAGGCAGGAAGATGCCTTGAACCCAGATTTCTGAGAAACATAGTAAGACCCCATGTCTTTAAACAAACCAGAAAAGGTAGGTGTGTGGAGATGTAGCTCAGTGGCGCAGTGCTTGCCTAATATGTGTAAAACTCCAGTACTTGGAGAGACAGAGAAAAGGAAGCCCACTGGGGAATCTCATTTGGGGAAATTTAGAAAATTCATATTAGTGGGAAGAAATAAAACTAGCACTGCCCATGAAGCACAACATTTAATTATCCTAACAACCTTTTGAGATCTATTTATCCACATTTCCCATGTCAGGAAACTGAAGATCAGCAAGGCTAACTACCTTGCTGGATCACACAGTTACTTTGTAAAACTTGGACTCTGTAAAGGGCTTGTGACTTAAGTAAGCAAAACTATATCGTATCCCCAGTTCCAGCTAATATTTGTTTTACTGACCTGTGATCTAAAACCTTGGTATGCCCATTTAAGAAGAAACAAAAAGACTCATAATTGGATGGAAATCCAATCATGTTTGATTTGGTCTTTTAAGCTTTTCTGGAAGTTGAAATACTGTTCACATAAATGTCAGGAAAAGAATGCCTCCAGAAAAGCCATCCACTGTGGTTCTTCTTCTGGGGCCAGAAGCATGTGTGAAGGGTACGATAAAGCTTTATCTAGGAAGACTGCCCTTCCAGACAGCCTGCCTGTGGTATCTGCAAGATACTGAACTGGGCAAAACCCTCCTCCTCCTCTTCCTCCCTGCTTCTGTCCCTAGGCAAAGGATGAAAAATGATTCCCAGCATTTTTTAGAGGTAGAGCACTTTATGGATTCCTTGTGACAATTTATTGCTTCAAAGAAAACATGTCGAGTACCAACCGTATGTCTAGGTACTAGAGGCACTGTGATAAATGAGAATGTTTATACTCAGCTTACATTCTGGTGGGGAGAGGCAGGGATAAATATTATACCTGACAGTATGGATAACTGAGAGACTTGGGTAGTCAGGGAATGCCTTTGAGGATCAAACAGTTAAACTCACACCTGAATAACACACTGTCAGCTCTTGGGAAACGTACCAGACTAAAGAAATGGGAAGTACAAAGGCCCTGAGGCACTAACAGTCTTGAAGAGTCTCTACAGTGAGAAGCTTCAGCAAAGAAAGCTATTTGAAGTGGTTGAAGGAATGGGAGCTAGTCCAGCAGGCTCCTGTAGGCCATCCTGAGGACTTAGAGTTTGACTCAATCTGTAATGGCAAGTTATTGGAGGTTATAAGTAGAGAACAGACATGATCTGATATACATGACTGAAGGATCACTGACTGCTGGGGTGGGGGAGTGGAACATAAGCAATACAGAGATAACACTTAGGAGAGTCTCCCTGGTAGATTAGGCAGGAGAACTGGGAAGGAGGGGCCAAGAAGGACTCTCAGGTCTGTGCCTCAGCCACTGAACAAACACTGGTGTTACTTAGCACAACGGGCTCAGAGCTGCTTTCGCAGTGGGATGGACGTCAAGGAGTTTGTTGTGACTGTGCCTGAGATACCTGTCAGGCACCCATGTGGGGCTATGAGTTAGCAGTCAAAATGTTTGAGTTGGGACTTCACTGGATGGCTTAGGGATTGGCATATTTATACATTCCAGGTGCTCAGACTTTATTTTGTGCCAGTGCTCTCTGATAAACAGTCTTTCCAGGAAAAGGGGGAAAGCTCTGGTGTGTGATGTTTGTTTGGTTTGTGGGGTGCACACTATCACCACAGCTGATGGCAGGCTGCCAGGGGCTCAACAGGTGGCTTCCAAAATTCCCAAACACAGGAGGACTTAGTAAGTTAAGGTACCTGTGGCCAAACCTGACAACTTGAGTCCAACCCCTGGGCCCCATATCATGGAAGGAGATAACCAACACCTGCAAGTTATCCTCTGACTTCCATAATCTTGTCACCCGTGTGTATGTGTGTGTGTGTGTGTGTGTGTGTGTAAAAGAAAATCTTTAACATTGAACAATCAATTCTCAGAGCTGCCATCTCCCTTATTGATCACAACCACCTTGGGAAGTTGGCAAGGATTTTGCATTTGGCAGATGAGGAAATTGAGACTTAGAAAGATAAAAGGCCATGTTTGGTGGCATATGCCTTTAGTTCCAGCACTCAGGAGGCAAAGGCAGGCAGATCTTTGTGAGTTCAAGTCTAGCCTAGTCTACAGAGCTAGTTCCAGGCCAGCCAGGGCTACACAGGAAAACCCTGTCTCTCTCTTTTTTTTTTTTTTTTTTTTTTTCGTCTTTTTGAGACAGGGTCTCCCTGTAGTCCCAGCTGACCTGAACTCACTATGTAGACCAGGCTGGCCTTGAACTCACAGGGATCCAAGGATCCGCCTGCCTCTGCCTCCCAAGTGCTGGGATTAAAGGCGTGTGCCACCACACCTGGTGAAACCCTGTCTTTTAAAAAAAGAGAAAAAAAGAAAAAGGGATTTATTCATAGTTACACAGAGACCCACAGCTCACTATGATTGCTGACTGAGCAAAAAGGCTGTGGTTGGAGGAAGAACTTCCTGCCAGGAATGGTTTAGAGGTCATAGTTAAGTTTTGTTTTGTTTTTTTAAATTCTGTTTCCCATAGGATGATTTGGGGGCAAAACAGGGCCCCCATGTTGCCTCTAGTACCTAGGCATACAGTAGGTGCTCAACATGTATTCTTTGAAGCAGTGAATTTCCAGGAGGAACCTGTAAAGTGCTCTGCCTCCAGAAGATGCTGGACTAGTCATCAAGCCATCAGGGAACACAAGATGCTTATGGAAGTCACCAGGTTTAGAGGAGGAGGTTTCTATCTGGGGGATAGGAATTAGTTCCTGTGTCTCCTCAGGACAGCAGAACCAGTCACCTCTCATTCTGTACGAAGGTGTGCTATGGTCTTGGTGGAATCCCCAACCAGGTGGCCTCCAGTGCCTCAGCCTTTTACCTGCAGCTCTTCCTACTTGATGTGGCACAGGTGAGTGTGGGCAACAGCCCAGAACCCCCTGCTGGCATTTTTTATGATGTCTGGTCTTTTCACTGCCTCCCTACTCTGTGTTTCCCAGTCTTGGTAGACAAGTCTAACAACAACAACCACAAAAAATGCTATGGAGGGCAATCTCTCAAAGGATAATCATGGCATCTTGTTTGTTAGGCAGATAAGAAATTAGCCAGATGTGGTGGCAGACACCTGTAATCCCAGCATTCTACTCAAGAGGCCAAGGTAGAAGGACCAGAAATTCAAAGACAGCCTTGGCTACATGAGACCATCTGAAAACAAAAAACAAAACAACAGAGAGAGGGGGAGGGGGAGGGAAGAGGCTGGAAAGATGATTCAGTGGTTAAGAGTACTGACTGCTCCTACAGAGGACCCAGGGTCAATTCCCAGCACACATATGCCCATTAACCACCAACTGTAACTCTAGTTCCAGGGGATTCAATGCCCTGTTCTGGCTTCCAGGGGCATTGCACATATGCACTTACATACATCTAGGCAAAACACTTGTATACACATAAAATAATAATTTTTTAAAAATCAAAAGAGGGACTGGGAATGTAGCTCAGGGGGTAGAGGGCTTGCCTAGCATGCATAAAACTCTGGGTTCAATCTCTAGCACTGTATAAAATTGGTATGGTGGAGTGTGCCTATAATCCCAGCAGTGGAGATAAGGATTAGAAGTTCAAGGTCATCATCAGCTACATAATGAGATTGAAGCCAGCCTGAGTTTTTTCATAACTCATTTTTTTATTGAATGTAGCATCAAATAAAAGCATCAACTTAGCATGTACAATTTAGTTTTATAAACACATGCAAACATGTAACCACCCCTGCTGCCTTAGAAACCTCCCTCTTACACCCTCTTAATCAGTGTTCCAGTGTCAAAAGTAACTGTCATCCCAACTTCAATCAACATGGGCTGGTATTGCAGGTCTTTGAACTTTATATGCATGAGATCACACAGTACTGGTTTTTTTTTTTTTTGTAACTTCTTTTGTATGTCCTTGTATCTGTCATCTACATTGTTGGGTGTACAAGTTTATTTTTTAAAGTTAAATAGTATTCTCTTATTTCAGTGTGTGATGAATGTATTCATTCCAATGTTGATGAGTGTTTGAACTGCTTTCATTTGGGTCCTATTAAAAAGCATTACAGACATTTGATGCCTTGTCTTTGGGTAAACGTATGTCCTTGTACCTTTTGGGTAAGAATAGAATTTCTGTGTCATAGAGTGTGAGGTATTTTGTTATAGAAGATGCTATGTACCACTTTTCTAAAATGATAGTAATAATTGATACCCTAGTAGAAATTCAGATTAGAACTGGCTAAGATCAAGAGAACAAATGATACCAAATATTGGAGAGGATGTGGGGAAAGGGGAACACTCATCCACTGCTGGTG